CCTCATAATATATTTCCATTAATTAATAAACTCTTCTGATACAACTGATCCTCCAAAATACAACTCGGGAATCCATACTGTGTGGACCCCTAGAAAATCCAAACTAAAGAAATGACAGCAATAACTGTCTAAATCAGGAAACTGAATTATAAAAGAACTCCTATGCAGCATCGGAAGAATGAAGTAGACTGATCCCTGCTCAGCACGAACAACCTCTACTCCTGACGAACACCTGAAAAATAATGGTGGGTCAGGCCCACAAACAAGTTCTACTCTACTACAGTCCAAGAAGAGATCCGATACACGTATACATCCTAGTCAATCCAACAGTAACTAGTAGTCCGTATATATATATATACACACTAAAGGAACCTCACTAGACTATAGGGTTGTCTCAACCTGAATAGTAGGCAACATGCAAAACGCACATATAGTGGACATGAATACCTAGACCTACCAGGGTACACAACTACACTATATCTAGCTACACATCCCTGACCACTGATCCTGAGACTCAAGCTCATATCATGGCACCATACTTATATATATAAAATCTAGTAACCATCCTATCCGGTATAAATTAATCCTCCATAATTCATTCAACTTGTTCAGCTGACCTGACTTGAATATAAGTAGGACTTAACATTTTAGTTAATCCATTCCCTTATATAATAAATTAATCATTCATAAGTCATTCAACTTGTTCAGCTGACCTAACTTGAATATAAGTAGGACTTAACATTTTAGTTAATCCATTCCCTTATATAAAATAGGTAGGACTTAACTGATAAGTTAATCCGTCCCTAGAATGCCACCGTCCCATACCGGTGCATTAAACCACACAATCCAACAATTAATGTAACGATTAAGGAAATACATCAAACAATCCAGAAATAACTATGATAATATGATATCAAGTTATCACAAAATAGGAATGACTTATTATTTATTTAAGCTTCCTATATCATATGTCCTACATAAACTGAATCTTATACATATGATGATATTTTATTATACCGTCAAATAAGCATTCTCCATATCCAATTCATCATACACATTTAATCTCAATTGCTAAAACATATTAAAAGATTAAATTCATTCGTTTGTTTAAAACATTCAAATAGTAAACATCATTATGATTGAGTCTATTTAAATTTATTTAAACCCAAACCTAGTTTCTATTTAATGTTCAGGAATCCTAGACATGTTTTTACGTTCCATCGTTCCATAGATACGAAAAATACATAATTTAAACATGTAAAAATCCACACTGGAAATCAAATCAAAATCATGCATTTATCAATTCATAACACAAGAACAGATATGAACCAAATTCATAAAACCTATATTCTAACCCAATTAAACATGTATAATTATTTAATTTTATGTGTTTAATAAATCCTGAAATTTCCTAGGCATGTACAGAAACACGAATCAAAGGAAAAGAAATAGAAGAAGAACTTGCCTTAAACTTTCGGAGCGAAAATTAAACTTCTTCTTCCTTGATCTTCTCTCTAAAGGGTTTTCTCCTCCTTTCTTCCTCTTTCTCCTTCTCTCTCTAACTCTCTCTCTCTCTAGAATATATTACGTGATATATTTTCACTCCTTTTTCAACCTATAGTTGTGTATTTATAAGCTAAATAATAACCCTATTCCTTTTCCCAATCCAAGTCAACTTAATAAAGAAAAATAAAAAATGAAAATACTAAAAAGGTAACTTAAAATATGTTACGTATATAATCTATGTATATCCTTATTAATTAAATAAAATATATATATTAGATTATTTATTAATACTAAAGTTACCACAATATTAAAAGGTAACTTAAAACATGTTACGTATATAATCTATCTATATCCTCATTAAATAAATAAAATATATACATCAGATTATTTATTTATACTAAAGTTATCATAATATTAAAAAAGTAACTTAAAACATGTTGCGTATAAATATATGTATATCCTTATTATATAAATATACAAAATATATACATCAGATTATTTATTAATACTAAAGTTACTATAATATTAATAAATTACTTTCCTTTATATATATATGTATATACATATACATCTATATATATACATATACAACTATCCATAGGTAATTATCCATACCCATCCAACCTCCTATCCAAGTAGTCCATGGGACCCAATTAGTTAGCCCATTACCACTAAGCATAACTATAAAATAAAACATTTAATCATTTAATTTATAATTAATTACAATTAATCAAATACATCATTTAAGCACACAATCTAATTAAACAAATAATACAAATAACACCTAGACAAAATACAAATAACACATAGATAAGTAGCCAATTAATTAAGTAACACTTAATTCAATTAAACACATAAGCAATTAGTCAAATAATCAATTAAACAATTAAAAAAATACAATAAAAATAAATAAATAAATACCGAGACTATCCTTTTAAAATTAGGGATATTACACCACACCCTAAAAACTCTATGTTGCGATAAATCATCAAAAAAAGAAAGATAACTAAGGACCATAACTCCTTCACAATACTAAAGTTAAAAAGCAAGTGATTAAGCACCTTTGCACATGCAGCACTAGTTACTAATAACCTGACCTCCCCTGTGGTTTCATGATTGCATCCATAGATCAAATTATCAAGAGTGGCAGTGAAGTTTTTTACCTTATGCTCGATAAAATTATAATGATACAGTTGATACTAACACCATCTAATCATTATCGTGTCACAGATACAATATCAATAATTTTACTAATAAAAGATCAACTCAAGTTAATCAAATTACAAAATCACATGAAGAATATGCATGATAAAAAAAATAAAAATAAAAATAAAAAATCAACAGTTAGATCAATTATCAGAAACGTGGAAGGCTTAACCAAACTTTTTAAAAGCAATCTTTCACTTGTGAGGTTGAGGTTGAGGCTGAGCAGTGGCATCTTTGGCCTCACCAGCCACTCTATTCGCCAAATTGGTCTGGTGTCACATTGTTGTGTAATGTCAGACGAAGCTTGCACTCGTAGCTACATAGATAATCACAACATCAAAGTCACTTAATCGATCAAGAATAGGGCTGCAACTTGGGCGGGCTAGCTTAGCCCAGACCAACCCCAACCCGAAATTTTGAAATTTGGGCTTTAAGTTCACAAATTGAACTCATGTTCAGGTTGGATTTTGTCAAAACCCAAACATTTTTTGGGTTGGAATCGGGCCCTAATCCAACCCAAAGCCCAAAATAAATAAATAAAAATTCTTTTTTTTTTTTTTTGCCTCTTTCACCTTTCTCTCTCCTCTCTTCTTTCTTTTTCTTTCTCTATCGCGGAAATGGCTTGAACACTCAAATACAAATGCCAAGTCCAATTAGAGAGAAGCTGTCTCTTTCATTTCTTCAAGGGCAATCATCTCATGGGATAATCTTTCACGAAAGAAGCACACCCATTGAAATGAGGAGATTCTTTTTCATATAGGAAAACAAGATTCAGGAAGATGATCCGGTCTGGGAAAAAACATTAAAACAAAACTCATACATACAAGTTAGCGGTTGCATAGAGAGAGGGGGGCAAGCTTGAGAGTTGAGAGACAGCGGCTGAAGCTTGCGAACGGTGAACCCGAACTTGAACAGCAAACTATGGAAACTGAAAGATCTGGGTTTTGATTTTTTGAACAATCTGAAATGATATGCCGATATGGGTTTTGAACTTTTGAAATCATTTGTAGTCGCAGAGAGAGAGAGAGGGAGGGGGCAAGTTCAGAAAGAATAGAGACGGAGGCGATTGGGGAGGCTAAAATGATTTGTCCTAAAAATAATCAAATATATATATATATATATATATATATATATATATATATATAATTTGTTTTTTAATAATAATATAATCAAATATATTATATATATATATATATTCGGAAAAAAAAATTAAAAAAAAAAAAAAAAATCAACTCGTTAACCCGATCCAACTCGCCCAAAAATATTAGGATTGAGTTATGACCATAACTGACTCATGTTGGGTGCAATTCATGTTGGCCCACCCAACTTAATTTGGGTTAAGATTGGGTTAGGACTGGATTGAGTTGGGCCAGCCCAACTTACAGTGTTAATCAAGAATCAATATATATATATATATATATATATATATATATATATATATGAGCAAGTCTCCGCAGCCGCTCACGGCCGTCGATGGCTCCATTCTGCGATCATCACTATATATGTTTTGATCGAACTCGTGATTAAACATGGCCAATGACCAGTCACCAGCCTATGTGATTTGAGTCGCATAGCCTTAAAAAGCAACTGAGTGCCAGGCCTTGAAAATCAACTGTTAAATTTATACTTGACTCATTTCTTCATCAATTGACTCATTCTTATATGCGTTTTTCGCTGGAAGTCATGGAGTAATGATTAAGCACACCGGTTGAAGTGATTTGAGTTACAAATATTTGTTTAATTAGTAAGAGTTTATTAGTAAAACTCCAACCAAACTATAAAATAAAAAAAAAAAAAAATAAAAAAAAAAAAAAATGCCTTATTCACTTTTCCATTTTTATAGAAATATCTCAAAAATTGAGCTGATTTTGTTTATGTGGTTAAAAATGATGTTATCGGGATGGTTTATGATATCTACGAGTATATCAATTTTTCTACTCCGTACTAGGCAAAATGTCACATATCCGCTCTTTTTTCAAAAAAAAATCCTATCAAATCGCAAGGTAATAAAAAAAGTACAACGATATTGTCTCCCCATATAAAGCTTAAATTAGTACACTATTAAGTTCGAACCCCAAACCACAACCATAATAATAAGCCCAGTGCCCACTAAGATGGTGACCTTTCACCAATTCCATGGAGCCCAATTCTCCATCTTGCCTCCAGTGCAAAGACAACGCCCCATGCCTCAATCCCATTAATTACAAGAACGCCACGCAGTCTCACCATCTCTGGTGGGCTATGACACGAACCGTGCGTTCCGTGAAAATGGAATCGCATCTGAGTCTTTTCTTTTTCTTTTTTCTTTTTAGAGAAAGAAGAAAAGAATACGTTTGTTGTCAGCTCTCCTCTGGTAGAAGTTTTTCTTTTTCTTTCTATACTTTCTCTCTCTAAAACTCTACACACTCTTCCTCCCTTTTAAGATAGAGATATATGCCATATGCGCTTTCCTTTTTTCGGTTCTCTGTCCCATTATATGCGCATTGTCACTGTCGTTGAAGAGAGAGAAACATTGATCAATGGCTTCATCGTCGACCAACACTTACGATCTCTCGTTCAAGATCTTGTTGATCGGCGATTCTGGCGTCGGTAAAAGCAGTCTTCTAGTCAGCTTCATCTCTAACTCTGTCGATGATCTTGCTCCTACAATCGGTACTTCTCCATTAAATTTTCTTTGTTCTTGTATACATATACGTATAGAAATACAAAATTCGTATATACGTTTATTTATAGACAATATATATATATATATATATATATATGTATTTGTGTTTGCAGTTCAGATTCTTGATCTCGTATTTGATTTTGGAACTCACATAGTTAGTGCGGATGTTTAATTAGTAAAGTTATATGGCGTCCAAGTGTTCTTCCTTTTATTTATTTTTTGGCAATTTTATTTACCTACATTTGTGTCTATTGTGCTTGTTTTGATTTGCTGGACTCTTGTAGTTAATTAAAGTTTTGTAGATTAATATATAATAGTTGTTTATATGTGCGCATATTCATTAATTTCTTTGGAAGAACTCTAATCATATATTTATGTGAAATTCAATGGAGTACAGAGTAACTTTCCTAGAAGCTGCTATAAGCGATTGCTTGTGTACTAGGAAAGGGACTGTACACAAGAAATCACTCATACACAAGAAATAGCCCATATACAAGCAATTTCATTCTACTAGCTGTCACAGGGGTCTTGTCCCTTATCCCGTGAGTGACCTTACAAAGTACAAAATAAAAATATCAAGAAAAATGAAATGAAAGAAAATGGAAATCACCGTACAAAGTTTCTCAAACCCTTTCTGGACAATACAAACCCTAACATTCTTAAGTATACCGGGTTACAGTAAAGACTAAGACTCAGGTGGTAACCGGATTACAAATGAACAGTGATTTTAATTGTAGTATTAGTTTTTGACAATGGAGGGTACAATAAAGAGTGAACAAAAATATTAATGAATTAAATACAATCCACCATGTAAAATTAATTAGACAAGTGGTAAAATGTGTGTGATGAAAAGGAGCTCCGTACTGAGATGTCTACCTCATGCTAAAATAGGGTCCTTTTTTTTATGCATGGAGGGTGAATGGCTCTGAGTGCACCTACTATTCTGTACCAACTTTCATATTCACCTCATTCTCCTTCAGCTAGATATGGCTTGTCACTGCTTGCAGGGACATGCATATGACATAAGTGGTAGGTGTTCGGCAATATTGCATGTGGATCTAGAGAAGTGGTTCGTTATTGTTTGTATATAAAAGAATTGACTTCATTTGTACTTGGTATGCATTGAATCATATTACCATGTTTCATATGCGCTAAAGAAATTTATGTCACTCCGTTGACACGTTCAAGGTTTGCTGAGATTTGCAGCTTTTCAATATTGGTGTAACTACTTCAGTTATTAAAAATAAATAAATTGTAGAACAGTTCTTTTCAGCAATTGTATGTGAGTTTTGCTCCTATTATTGTTTTAGTTTTACAGCTTACTGTGTGTTCCTCAGTAGAACAGCAATATGATATTAGTTCTTTTAAAAGAAAATTGTCATTTTTTTTTTTTTTTAAATTTGTCAGTGTGTATGAAAACTCGGTCCCAAGGAAAGAAACTGTTAGTGTAATCATTAGATTGTCTAAATATTTTGTTGCAATTGACTTAATGCAAGCATAGCTCTTTATATGATAGTTGAGATTTCACAGATTGATATTTTTGCCTGTCTCAATCATCTCCAGGTGTGGATTTTAAAATCAAGCTGTTCACAGTTGGTGGGAAAAGATTGAAGCTTACAATTTGGGACACTGGTAATGATTGGCAATGACATATTGTTTCATTTTGTCCTCCAAAAGAAAATTTCCACTGGTTACATATAGGTCCTCCGGCCATTAGTATTTTTTGATGATTGGCTATTTGGTTGGATGTACTTTTTTTTGGTAAGTCACTCACACGCACCAATTTGTCCCATTGGGGACTCAAACGCTCAACCTTTCATTTAGAAGGAGGAGGAGATTCCGCTTGGGCTAAACCCTTGGTTGGTTGGATGTACTTTTTATTGCTTCAGTGGTACAAATTTGGGAGAATGAGTGGATTAGGAAAAACTTTTTTATTTTTGTAAGAAATTTTATGCTCGAGTAATTTCTCTATCTTATGATTAGAGTATAAGGATATGACGCATGTACTTTTTACTGCACATTTATGCTTTTTTCAGTAGTCAAAATTCCAAGATGTTTACCTCTAGAAATAGGAATGATTTAGATTACAACCCCATTTTGAAATGATGGATTGGGGTAAGTGGTTACTTTTTGTTGATTTATAGTGGAACAGAGATATCTCCTTCACTGAACTCAATGGCTTTTGGAGATTAGGACTTGTTGCTTATTATAGGATTAATGGTACATAGTCATATGTGGTCATGTAATTTAATTCTAATGTTGTGCTCCACTACATGCAGTAACACATTGCATAAATGTGACAGTTTTTTTTTTTGTCTGATGCCTTCTTTTCTGATTAATCTAATAACATTTTCTTTACCACAACTGTGTGGAAAAAATGAATTTGGTTTGTATGATCATCATGTCTATTGCAGCTGGACAGGAGAGGTTCAGGACATTGACAAGCTCTTATTATAGAGGAGCCCAGGGAATCATTCTTGGTAAGCTAACAACAGCATAAAATCATTTCATTCTACAAGACAGTGTATGTAAAGTTCTATTCTCTTAAATTAGTCTTTGAGAGAATGATTTTTGTTTGAAGTAATCAGTGATTCATTAACGGACTGTATGGCAGCTTTTTAGATGTTTGAAGGCTAAATATGATAGAAGTCTTCTCTGTGGCTTCATCTATATTGAAAAATCACGTCTTTTTTTTTTGGTTCCCTAAAATAAAATATAAAAAAATCAGCATCTTTTGAATTGAGGCCTTCTTTTCCTCTCATTCCTATCTTTGGAAAAAAATATTTTTGTGCCCATCATTGAGAAAAAATTATTTTTGTTCCAATATATAGACATAGATGTGTCATGCTATCCTTATGGTTCTTAAGGATTAATGAGGCAACTAAAGTGGTGGTGTTCTAAATCTTTCCAGAAGCAATATACCAAATTACGTAAGCAACTCTGGTTTCCTCCAAATGTGAATTTCCTCTTTGGAGAATATAGTTATGATTGTTTGAGTCTGGAAAAAAGGCCACAAAATTCACGAGAATAAATTTTTGAAAATAGGAAATGAATCACTCAATGATAATAATATTATCAACTCAAAGTGGTGGAAGAGATGGATTAGGTAGCTTTGTAAGAAGAAGTGACTGCTTTTAAGTTATCTGAATAACCTGAGTCAATAATCCCATCATCTTTAATGGCAAATTTCTCCATTTTATGATCTAGAAACACACATTCATTCCCGCATTCACTCCATTGGAACGTCATGAATGATTGACCTGTTTATTCTAATAGACTCTCGGAAGTCAGAAACCTTCCTCCTTTGCTCTTCAATAACCTGTGATCTTTGTCTAATGGTACAGTATTGTGGTTTAGTTGTATTGACTAGTTTCCTAAACTTTTTGTATTGATTACTGCAATCATACGTACACATGCAATAAGGCTTTCAATTTGTACACTCTGCAGATTGTTATGAGCTACACTGTTATATTTTTGATTGTATAATTCTCACATGGTTTTTGTTTACTGAACTTAGTTATTTTATTTGCTTGAATTATAGTTTATGATGTGACACGGAGGGAAACTTTTACAAATTTGTCGGATGTATGGGCTAAAGAAGTAGATCTTTACTCCACTAATCAGGATTGTGTCAAGATGCTTGTTGGAAACAAAGTTGATAGGGTAAGTTCCGAACTCTGATTTTTGTGCCCAAAAGAATGATCTGAGACAGTGAATCAAATTAAATAGTTGAGGGATCTATGCATCTATAACCATATGGAAATTGCTTTATGTTGATTTTTATTTCTACATGCTTGCTTTCATATCATTTGGGTTATGTAGTTGGCTGCTAAAAGAAGTTTTTCTTTTTCCCTTTTTTTCTTTTTTCCCCCCATCTCTTTTTCCCTTTTTTTCTTTTTTCCCCCTATGTTCTTTCCCACTGAGAACCCCTTGTAGGCAAACCACCTGGGTGGTTTCATATAAACTGGGTTATGTGGGTGGGGAAAATGTAGACTAACCTGACCTTTTGCATTATTTTTCACAAAGTGACTGCTCTCTTAGTATGAGCCTTTGCCATTATACCGAGCAATAACTCCTAATTGCTAAACTTATCATGTCTAGGAAAAGGCTATATAGCTTATTTGTGCTTCTGTTCTTCAATTTCAATGGGAACGTGTTCTTTAGTTGTAGAGCTTTTTATTTTAATTTATTTTTCTTTCAGTTGTAGAACATCCGAGTTTTATACAAACTTTACTTGCAAAGTTAGTCGTCTAATTTTTTTAGCCACATATCATGAACTAAGTTGACGTTCTAAAAGTTTAATATTTTCCTTTTACATATTTTGCTTGCATGATTTCAGGAATCCGAAAGGGCTGTAAGTAGAGAAGAAGGGATTGCTCTTGCAAAAGAGCATGGTTGTTTATTTCTAGAATGTAGTGCTAAAACTCGAGAAAATGTGGAGCAGTGCTTTGAACAGCTTGCGTTAAAGGTACACGAATAAAAGAGTTTATACTGTTTAATTGTCACGTGGAATCAAACTAATAAATAATTCAGAAACTAGTCTTAACTATAGGATGTAAAACAAATCTGAAAAATGTGTTTCACCAATGGTTGACCTCCATCCGGGTCATTTTGATCCATTTAGTTACTATATAATAGGGTCATGCTATAGTTATATTACCAAGTACCAAGTTCTTAAAACCTCTAGATAATATGTGTGTTTGTGCATGTATTGGTTACAAGTAGGAATTAATTTCCCCATATTTTTACAGAGATATTGAACATTTTGTAGATAACGATGCAGAATTTGAAAATTTGCTCATGTTTGGGTTCTTATATGAATATCTTTATATATTTGATGGACAACTAATACCTCTTGATTTGTTGATGTAATCTTAGTATGGAATGGGTTATTAGACAGTCAGAGTAATAAGGAAGTAGAAATTGCTATTTTCCAACTGTTGAAAACCTTTTTGATAACAGGCGGCTGTTATGTGATTAGTGCTAGTTACATGATTTGGTTATATACAGTTCATTTTCTGTCGAAAGTACCGACATGGTGATGTACTATTTTTTTATTCTTTCTAACAGATAATGGAAGTTCCTAGTCTTTTGGAAGAAGGATCAACTGCAGTGAAGAGAAACATCTTAAAACAGAAACAAGAATACCAGGCGCCTCCTAGTACTGGTTGTTGCTCATAAAGTGCTGCATCAAATACCACAATGTGAAAAGATACATATGAAATGGAGGTGCAAATAGCAAATAAGGAGTACGACTTTTCCCCTTCACAATTCATGACCGAATTATGTACATGATAATTTCTTCTCTTATATTTTACTGTTGTTTTGTGCCCAAAAAGAAAAAAGAAATGGTCTAGTTTGTGTAAAGTTGTCTTCCTTTTCTCTACTGGGGAAAAAAAAATGAAGAAGTTGTCTGCCTTTTCGGTCTTTGTTCTCACAAGATGTTATGGAAGAAAAATTGCATGTAATTTCATTTGGTTTGATGCCTGTTTTTTTTTTCATACTTTAGTTCACACGTTCCTCACGATTAAATTTAAGAATGATATCATAATTTGTAGCTAACAGAAGCAACAGAGAAACGTGATGTTGCCAATCGATCTATGTGCATTGCATTGGGATACTATACTCCGTCTGCATTCCAGGCTTGGTATGTTAATTAGTGTTATCATGGTGAAAGGTCTAAGCCATAGCCTCAAACCCCAAAACCTTGACATTATCTCAACTAGAGGTGTTTATGATATCAGATCACATTCTCAGTACCCACAAAGATGGAAATCCTGAAAACTGTCCATTTAACATTTCAATTTGAACTATATGCATGTTTCTACAATCTATAAATTCAGTCCCAATGGACACATACAGTACTTCCCCGACCATTTCAAATTTTCATGAATATAGAAAATCATGTATATTCCAAATCTTATTATCTGGGCAAATCGTAGAACACTTCTCCTGTTTGGACCAGCTCTTGATAGGGCCCAAGCAGCAAAACATCAGTGACAATGCTAATACTGAATCTGGGCTAGAAAATTGAACCGAGTCTGTGGTTTTCAGGTGACCCAAAGTCATATACAGAAACAAGGACCACATAGAGTATTCAGAGCTTTTTTGTGGTCAGGTGCTGAATCGAAATCCACGGGCAAAAATTGTTTGGAGAAATGTTTGCAAGACCAAACAAGCTGGTGGTTTGGACATCCCTAACTTAGAGCTCTCAAACAAAGCCAGCATTCCTAGATACATTTGGGATTTACAGACTTGTGACATATGTCACACTCACCTCATCAAATCCAGAAATCTATGGACTCTCAAGATCCCACAAACATGTTCATGGAGCTGGAGGAAATTACTTCAATTTAGACACCCTACAAGGTTTCTCATCAAGCACAGAATTGGCAATGGCTCTGCAACCTCCTTCTGGTGGGACAATTGGGCTCCTGGAGGTCCTTTGTGCTTTCCCATCACAAATCCTCAAGAATGCTGGACTCAATGACAACATCACAATTGGTGACTTCATTGCAAACAACTCTCGTCATTTCCTGTAACGACTCGAACCCGTAAATCCTGCGAGCCGAGTCCCTACCAGAACCCAAGATTACCTAAGTCAGTGCCATCAAGTCCAGTATTATTACCTCATTTTTACGTCCCAAATATGTTTCAAGGAGGCTCTAAGCATTTTCCCAATATTCATGATTAACCAAACCAAGAAGATATGGCAAGATGCACAACAGCAGCTAAACCGGTCGACAGAAATGGCCACTTCGGTAGGCCAGTTGTGCTCCAAACAATAGATGAAGCTACTGGAAGTTTCGGTCGACCGAAATGGCTCTACGAACTGGGATTTGCTACTGGACTGTTATGAACCTGAAAATATGCATAAGACTAGCTATGGAACCTTAAAACCGAATAAATCCTGTCTTAATATATGTATAAACATTGGATATAACATCATAACATCCATTTGAACATGGTAATCAGATACATATAAAAGACTTCCTCTATTTGCAACATTTTATTTGATCTTTCACATAATTCAATAACCATGAACAAAGTAATTGTATTAACACGAGACTACAATCCATGAAGCAAAAACTAAAATTTATAGGAGTCCATGAGTTACAACTTCATACAAGTTACAAAAGAACTAGGCTCCATACACAAAATACAATAAAACAAAAGCCGTAATCTCATCTAGAATTATGGTAGGTTCTCGTCCGCCACTTCCTTTCCCGAACCTGAAAATGTTAAAATAAGGGGTGAGCATAAAGCTCAGTAGAAGTCGTCCAAGGCGTTAGTTTTGAACTCCCTTGAGCCAAATAACATATAATGGAGTTGGAAAGATATCGGGGTCATGCAATGGGAATTCACACACCATAAACAACTTAGTAAGAAACAATTTCAGCATTTCACATAATTCCATCAAATGATATACTTGAAATGAAATGTGGTGCATCCATCCCAAATTTGGTCTACGCCGACTCTACCCGTACCTTTAGAAATCCGCTAACTGACTTTACAGAGGCGAGATTGATAACCATCTCCGGTTTCAATTCTGGCAACCGTTACTGGGCCTAGTACCAACTTTTTCACGCCCTCTACCGAGCTACGTTCCCTCTAAGTCAACCTAACCCTGGACTCGCGAAATCCGGTTCATTATTAATAAAAAAAAAACTTCCCAATTCCCTTTCAAAATTTCCCTTCCCTTGCCATGATATGCAATGCACAACAATTATAATCATTAAATTTTCAATATGGTAGTTTCCATATAATTAACATAGCAAGGCATTGCATAATGACATTTAATTGTAATTTAGGCATATCCACAACATTTACTACACCACTTACACAAACAAGGTAATTATAATAACAAATCACAAGTTATAAACCACAAGTTTCAATATAAAAGAAAACAAGTTGAAATTTGCTCAAATATAATTCAAAACTTGGGCATTAGGAAATCTCCTACCTTAATTGGAATGCAACTCCACAAGAAGCCCTGAAATCAAGCCTTAATTTCGAAATCCAAGGGTTGGCCAAAATGGTGCTTAGCTCCTATCAAATAGACGGCCTCGATGAGCTCTCCAACTTTGTTTAAGGTAGTACTAGCAAATTCCCAAAGGTGTGGGAAGAATCAAGCCTTGAATGCTTGATTAAGAGGAAAAAGAAAAGAAGAGAAGAGGGAGAGAGAGGAAATGAGACCAAAATTGGTCTCTTAGCCACAAAAAGCTTAGTGGTGGGTACCACCACTAAGAAAATATCCCACTTTATATATATATATATATATATATATATATATATATATATATATATTACTAACCACACAATTTTAAGCCACATCAATGTAAACATACACCAAATAAATATACATGGCACGTAATGGATCTGTGACACAACCCCCGTGCACAATAACTCCAGTAACGATTCCCATTCGGGATCGTCCGGCCCGAGAAAGGGAAAAATGCCGAAATGGCAGTTATTGCATTTCAAAAAGTCCTGAACTCAAATAAATGCCCCAACCAACTCTCGGACACATCCAGCACACCCCACAGCGTTTGGTACGTAAAACAAGAAAAGACAAAAATGTCTTCACAACAACAAAAATTCCAAAAAAAATGGAAAATGGTGAAAAACAAGAACATTACACTTCCCTCCTCCATCATCAGTGTAATTCCGAAACTGTTTTCTCTACATCCTTCTTGCACATCCAGAGATGACAAGAAGAGTTAGACTGTTTCATCAGCTAGAGTATACAATCTAAACCATACAGCACCTCACTTCATAGGTCACATCTCTTCAGCCCCATGACAAAATCTGGTGTGGCATTCTCCCACAATCCCTAGAATGCAGTTCAATTTATGGTTAGCAATGTAATCAAGACTCCCCACATTGGACTGCAAATCAATGGCACATCTATGGAACATATGTGTCATATGCAAAAATCACATTGAATCTTATGACCACTATTCTTCAACTGCTGCTTCATCTCACCAATTTGGAGACATATACAATAAAAATGCCACTTCTACACTTAGATCAGAAACTGGGACACTCTTGTTATAAGGATCAGCAATCAGAAGCCAAATTCAACACAAAATATGTTTCGAAAGATTTGTCTCTCCTCTGTAGTCTACCACACATGGGAGGAAAGAAATGATAGGATGTTTCGCGGGAAAAACTCATCACAAAGAGTTGTTCTGAACAAAATTTGCTCCACCATTACCTCAATCTCAAATTAGGATTCTTTATGGACTGTGCAACTGCAAAACGCATTCTAAGTGAATGGAATGTCTTTCCTTCCTTTTACCGTAGGCGTCCCCCTCGACAACCACCAAATTGAACTGCTAATTCTCTTCTTTCTCCCTTCTCTATGATTAAGGTTATTCACTGAAATTGATTGCAGATAACCTCCATTAACGACTAATTAACCATTAATTTTGGTTATTTGTTTTATTGAACTGGGCCATTGTATTGGGCTATATCTTCCTTGTATTGGGGTACATCTTCCTTGTATTTGCCTATTGGGCTGGGTTGTCTATTTTGGCTGGCTTGTTTGGCCAAAGGCCCCACTTATGTAATTATTTCTATATTTATAACAATTGCTTAAAATTGCAAAAAAAGAAAAGAAAAAGAGAACTTGGTTTATAATAAAATTGCAAATTATAAGCCAAATACGAGAAAGAAAAAAAAACAGCAGTACATAGATATTTTTCTTCAGAGGACAACTCCTAATATGTTCTCTCCACATAAGAGATTGTGTTTTCCAGCATTACAAGGGAGTAATATTGTAAATGTGTGCAAGTTTACATGAACTTTTGAATAATAATAATAAAAGTTGAACTATCTAGCCTGTCATATTACACTACTATATATAGCCCATTGAAAAGTCAAATAAGCTTGGATCATTGTACCCGAGTTGACATGTTAAAAAGTCGTATGAGTTTGGACTGATACACCCATGTGACACATGATCGAGTACAAGTAAAAACTTGTCATCTTACTAAGTCGATCTATAATGACCTGATCATTTTCATTTCTTTCCATTCCCTCAAATTTTACTGATATTTTTTTTCTGTTGATTTTTTTTCCCCGAGTTTCCTTTTTCCGTCATTTTTCACTATCTTTTCATTTTGCGTAACCTATCGGGTCGTGCTCGGATTTGATTTCAGCCTTGCATGCATTCATTATACTTGATTTCTATGTGTTGCACATTTTTACTTTTGTACAAATGCATGCTAGATGTTCATTTTTGCCCGTAGGGGTATAAATGTAAAGATTCTTGAAAATAATTTTCTTTAGTTGGTGTGTTTTTCGTAATTATCTTTTGATAAAATTTTGTATTTAAGGTTCTTTTAAATATATCTTTTGAATGACACTTCATTTTGGACTTTTTGGGAAATTCACTTTTTGAGTTATTTTGTGGAGGGGCATTTGTGTAATTATGAAAAGTTTTCAGAAAAGTTTCTCATTTTGGGTTCAAACCTTCATGATGGGTTTATTTTCACTT